GTAAACTACATGTAGGTAACAAATAGTGGATGACTTTTCTAATATTTGAAATAAGCACTTAAATAAGCAACACAACGGTGTTTTAAGTGCTATTCTTTGCATTTTTATTTTTCAATGTATGTGCTGTTCATTCCAGTCTCATCCATAGTTTGTCACGAAAAACATGTTTCTATTTTAAATACTCACAATCTGTCAAGTGTCAAGGGTATAATATTTACCTGACCGATGATGTATTAATTTGGTGATGTCAATTTTTGACATTTTTACCTATTATGTCTCTTTGTTTTATTCACACATTGTTGTCAATATATTGGCATTTTATGCTACTGTCATACAAGTGAGAGGTTTAGCTAGCTATAAAACCAACTTAAGTCCACCATTTTAACATAAGGAAATGCCTGTACTAAGTCAGGAATATGACAGTTGTTTTCCATTCGTTTGATGTGTTTGAGCTTTTGATTTTGCCATTTGATAAGGGAATTTCCGTTTTGAACTTTCCTTGGAGTTCGGTATTTTTGTAATTTTACTTTTTAGGGTAAAATCAGAGTCAATTACCAATCCACTAGTGTGTGATGCCAAATCACTTGACATAACTTATTAACATATTTTGTAAGAGTAACACGAAGGGTGTCGCATGTGATGCAGGATCTGATTAACCTACAGAAGCACCTGCGATCACCTCCAGTTTTTGGTGGAGTTTCGTGTTGCTCAAGTCTTTAGTTTTTATCTTGCGTTTGTTTGCTGTTGTTTTCCATTATGTCGGTTTTCTTTTTTTGTCATGGCATAGTCAGTTCGTTATGAGTTTGATTATTCCTTCGGTATCCTTCGTTTCTTTTGTTAACGATATTTTTTTTAAATACTTAAAGATGCGATTACAAGACCAATGTAAACACTAATGGAATACACAAATGCAAAATCACCTAAAGCAGTAAGGGACAGATATTTTAAGGAACAATTAGATTTTAATATATTTAAAGATCTTGGGTGTAGATGAAAATATTAGTTCATGTAAATATAAAACAATAAATCCCAAACTCAAAATAGGACCATGGAGATACAATTATGATGAAAGAAATGGTAGAAAATGAATTGAAGACGAATTTCATTATCTGCATGCAATTTTTTCAAACAACAGTAGAAAATAATACTCGGATAAATACTGCATGTATAAATATAGTGTTGCTAAGAAATAATGAGCCAGTAAGACAACCATTGGAAGACTCTGGTGTAAAAAGATTATAAAATACACGTGCCTGGCTTATCCTGGTTAATAGGTAACTTGATTTGAAATCACTGTATTTTACATAAATGTTATAAATTTTGCCCAATTTCTGTTAACATGTTTTTCACTTTCTCTTTACTTAATTTTTTAATGGATAAGAGAATAAAATTGCTTGTACAGTTTAATTAATGCTTTACAAATTAAATGATTTATTTCACAAACACTGATTTTGTTCTTATTGTTTTTGATAAAATTAATCCCTTTATCATCCCTTCCCCAACCGCAAAAAATTAAAAAAAATAATTATAAGAAATTGAATATATATACATGTGTGTTTGCGTGTTACAGAATCGAAGCTGCCATTAAAAAACGACTAAAAAGAATGTTTTTGATAGAAACTTAACTTATAGCTGGAGGGCATTAATAAGAAAAAGTTGTTATTTGCCGGAGTGTTTTCATAAGTCAATTTATCAATCCATTTTTGGATGTTTAAATCAATATCGAAATTCAATGTAGATTAAATCCAGGTATTTGTATTGCTACGCAAAATTATTACTCCTTATTCATTTTACTTTCTACTTTATTTTACTACCCAAATTACCTTATACAGCTAAGATTTGTTTCACACTTGTAGAAATGACTACATAGGCAATTTAGAAATTTATTTTATCGTAATTAAGAAGTAACATCAACGGAGAAGGCAATATGGTTTACCAAGGTTTTGGTCTCACTAAATGATATACAGTACACGTAATTTCACCCTTTTCGTAAATATCTTGGTTTCATTGCACACATCTTTAAATTTTCATATTTTTTCCTGATATGAAGACTCGTATGGGAGACTGGGGAATAGAAACATGAAACATGGTCATTAATGGACTTTTTCACTCTCACAGTTAAAGCCGCGATAAAAAGGGGCTACGTATAAACAAGCAGCCACATCCGGTCGGAGTGGGTGCTTGATATACATCGTCACACTAAATAGGTGTTACATGTACTTTTAAGGGGTACGTAGGGGAAATGTCTGCCATTCTTAAATGCCCTCTTTTTCCTTTAGTTGTCTCGAGGTTCATTTTTCCTTCCGGTCAACCTAATTTACAGAAGCTACCAATGGATTTATTAAGTGTTTGTCCCCGTCCTCAGTTTCCATCAAATTCGAAAAAATAAATTGAACAAACGATTTTGAACTGTTGATCTAAAATCTGGGTCATTTTTCCGACTCTTTTAACAGTCTGAATATGCATAAATCCTCAAAAATTATAACTTACAAGTGTAATGTACATAATAAAAACAAACGAGATCATACAGGTAATCAATGGAATTCAGTCCGTCCACATATATTTTTGAAATTCCGTGGTTTTTAAACCGCTTGATAGGATTTTACTTCTGTATTGTGTGGATGAAAAAATAGAAGAAAGAAGAATCATTCTCGGGTTTTGTTACACATCTCCTTATTTTTTAAATGACAGAATTCAAGACAGACATAAATGATCAAAGCTGTATTTAATAAGAAGATACGCACTCCGATACTATAGCCAACATTTCAATAAAGTGTATACCGCTTGATATGGGTTACGAAATAATAAGAATTTTCTACCCCAGGAATAGGTGACCTTAGCTGTATTTGGTAAAACCTTTCGGAATTTTGGGTCTTCAATGCTCTTCAACTTCGTAATTTATTTTGGCCTCTCTAAAAAACATTTATTCGAGCGTCACTATTGAGTCTTTTGTCGACGAAATATTAATCTTGGTATCTATGATGAATATATTATGAATAGCCAATAGACTTTAGAGTAAAAAAAATGCTATTTCAGACGACAAGGACGAGAAAGAATGTAATCAGATTAATAGCGAAACAAAACTGTCCATTGCGACACTAAACCAGGATAAAGAAAAGATAAAAGATTGGACTCATATTCTGACAGTTAAGTTGGCATTACTATTTGTGCAATACTTCTTGTAAACTTGTGTTTAATAAATCTTGTTAAATTTTATTATTGATTTTTGTCTTTTTGTTGTTTTCTTGTCGTAACACTATGTGGATACAAAATGCATGCACCTATCTATGAACAGATCTATGGTGACGTTACCTGTTGGCTTATATGAAGGGTTATAGTGCAGATCTATGGTGATGTATCCTGCAGGTACCTATGATGGGCTATGGTACAGAAAAAAAAAGATGTGAGACCTACAGGCACCTATGATAGACTATGGTGCAGATTTATGGTGATGTGACCTGCAGGCACCTATAATAGGCTAAGGTACAGATAAATAGCAATGTGACCTCCAGGCAACTATAATAGTCTATGGTACAGATATATAGCAGTGCAACCTTGCAGGCTCCTATGATAGGTTATAGTGCAGATCTATGGTGATGTATCCTGCAGGTACCTATGATGGGTTATGGTACAGAAAAAAAAAGATGTGAGACCTGCAGGCACTTATGATAGTCTTTGGTGCAGATCTATGGTGATGTGAACTGCATGCATCTATGATATGATATAGTACAGCTAAATAGCTGTGAGACATGCAGGCACACTTGATAGGCTTTGGTGCGAATCTATGGTGATGTGACCTGCAGGCTCCTATGATAGGCTATAGTGCAGATCATATTTGAAGTGACCTACAGGCACCTATGATAACTCTCAGATCTGTTCTTATTGTGTTTTTTTTTCGTTATTCGCATGTACAGGTAACCGTACACGTTCTTTTTGTGTTTTTGTTAGATGTATTTCTATTTGTATCCATCTGATAAGTTAAGCCTTTTTCAACTGATTTTTATAGTATGTTCTTATGTTGTACTGTTACACCACTGTCCCTGGTTAGAGGAGGGTCTGCGCCTTCAAACTAATTTAATCCCGCTTTTATCTGTATGTGCCTGTACCAAGTCAGGAACCGGTAATTTAGTGGATGTCATGTTTTGCTGTGTTCCTTAATTGTTTTTCGTTCATTATTTTAACATAAATTAGGCCCTTAGTTTTTTCGTTTAAATCGTTTTACATTTGTCATTTCGGGGCCTTTTATAGCTGACTATGCGGTACGGGCTTTGATCATTGTTGAAGGCCGTAAGGGGACCTATAGTTGTTAATGGCTGTGTCATTGGGTCTATTGGGGAGAGTTGTCTCATTGGCAATCATACTACATCTTCTTTTTATATATATGGTGCAGATCTATAGTGATGTGCCCTGCAGGTACCTTCCATACAGATAAATGAAAGTGTGACCTGCAGGCACCTTTAATAGCAGATGGTGCAGATCTATGGAGATATGACCTGCAGACACATATTTTAGGCAATGGTACAGATAATTAGCAGTGTGACCTGCAGACTCAAATGATAGGCTATGTTAAAGATCTAAAGATATGTGATCTGCAGCACCTATGGTACAGATAAATTTTGGTGTAATCTGCAGGCACCTATAGTTTTATTTATCGAGCCAAGCACCAACTGTGTAATATGGGAATATTATAGCATTAAACGCCCTTTTAAAGGACTTTATTGGTGTATAAACTCGACCAATTCACTCTCAAACAAATAAAAGTCCAAAGGATATGTTTGTGAGTGACTTGGTACATTTTTTACACCAATAAATTCCTTTAAAAAGGCGTTTAATCCTTATAATTCTTTAAAATTGGAGATAAGGAATTTATTTTTCCACACGCATAACTTCTATCACACGTTAATTGTATGTTTGTGTCATTGACTAGGCATAGCGCATGAATATATTTGTTGGTTAACGCAAAACTATGTACTCCATGAAATTTGCAATCTGATAAAAAATAAACTACAAAAACTCTTATTATCATTCAAACAAATGTTTTGTGTTTATTATTAATTTAACTATTAAGAACTACAAACGCAAATTAAAAATAAATTTTGTGAACGTTGATCCGGATTGTGTCATTATCGCCGCCAACTTGTTTACATTGGTTACGAAAAGAAGTTCGGTCAACGTCGTCTATCGAAAAATAAACAACGTCATGAACAACTACCGGAAGTCCTTCCAACCAATCATATCAACGTATTATCTAATCTGCAAATCATATAAGAATTATTGCTATTTTTTAAAATTTACTTATATCAGGCTCCTATAATAGGCAATGGTACAGATGAATAGCAGTATGACATGCAGGCCAAAAGGCTATGGTACAGATCTATAGTGATGTGACATACAGGCACCTATTTTACAGATGAATAGCAATGCGACCTGCAGGCACCTTCAGTAGAATATGGTAAAGACATATAGTGGTGTAACTAGCAGGCATCTACGTAGGCTATGATATAGATAATTTCCGGTTGCAATGTGAGCAAGTCTGAGACAAATAAATAAATGTTAAAAACAACACTCATGAAGAAAAGGTCTTTAAATATAAGATATGAAGATTTACATGGGTAATGATAATACGCGTAGGTATATAAAGCACTACTTTTTCGTAAGTGGTGACTGACAGTTACCCTTCACATAAGCTTTTATCCTCGTGCGGTTGTGAATATTTATGTAAACATAACATTTGATTGCCTCAATGAAGACAGTAATTGATTTGCTTTTAGGATTGTTATCAAATCTACTGATATAATCGTAGATTAATGGACTTTGATATCCCGCTTCCAACATATGCATAAAATGTATGAATCAACGAACTTTTGATGGAGGGGTATTATTTCAAATTTTGTTGTGATTTACGCTGCATGATTAATCTAAGATTTGTGTTATATAGAACTCCAATAAATTACTGATTCATTAGGACCATCAAATTCAATGCCTAAACAAATGTTAATAGTTCTTAGAAAAGCGAAAAAGTCAGAACTTGGTTTAATCTGAACATTTTAAAAATCTAAAATGGTCCGTTTTTTTTTTACATATATCTTTAATTCTGGAGTTGCAAGAAGGTTATAAGTTGTGTAGTTAACATAAGAATTTTGATTTTAAACAAGATTTGAAAAAAAAAATCTAAAAATTTGAAAATTAGAAATTGTCTGTTTTTCAAAATCTTTAGCAACGACAATATATTATCAAAACAGATAAATATATTTTAGATATTCGTTAGATAATAAACAAACAGTCACCTTTAATTAGTAATTCATCACTGACCCAATTAAGCTCATTTCTAAACGATTATTATGATGTTTTAAACTACTTGATATTTTTGTACAATTAACTTGAGTTTGTATTTTTAATAATAAATGGATTTTTTTCGTTTAATCATCATTTTCGAAGACTTCAGTGAATAATATTCCCCTTTCCATGTCTTCCAAACGATTCCATGGCCCTGAGTAGAGTGAATGCCTCCTAAATATTCACCATTCAAATTAGAATTATGGCATCTATTGAACCACCATGCACCCTTAAACAATACCCCACAGGGGCCACTAGAAGCATAGTCGTTTTTCATGTCCTTAGTAGAAAACATCATGCCGTTGTGCAGCCCGTGATTAGCTCTACCCATGCTATCTCCTATTCAAGAAAACAAACAAGATTAATATTTTTATATAAATACACTATATAATTCAAAATAGTTTATCGAGGCAGGCAATCCTATATACTAACCGAGCGAAAGGAAATGTCTTCAAACGGGTACTTTTTGACCCATGAATTTGGATATCGAAGTATAATAAATTTAATAAGTGATTGAGACCGACGTTGTAATAATTTGAGGTCCTTAGTCAGCTAACACAGTAGTAAAGATCATAATTCTTAACTGTAACTTTTGCCTGATATTGCTACTTCTCAGATACTTCTATAAACTATAAAATTCTAAAGATATGTAAGGAAAATTCTAAACGAAAAGTTCCTTAGCAAATGGCAAAATCAAAAGCTCAAACACATCAAACGAATGGATAACAACTGTCATATTCCTGACTTGGTACAAACATTTTCTTATGTAGAAAATAGTGGATTAAAGCTTGTTTTACAACTAGCTAAACCTCTCACTTGCATGACAGTCGCATAAAATTCATTATATTGACAACGATGTGTGAACAAAACAAACAGACATAAAAGATGAAAATGTCAAAATTAGGGGTACAGGCAGTTAACATTGTGTTATAATCTAATATATACAATAACAGTCCCTATCTTCCTGCATTAATGTAAAAAATATTTACTTATTTACTCCTACATACATTTTTTATAATAAACCACCAAAAGACATATTAAAGAATTGCTCCAAAAATTTAAAAAAAAAGAAGATGTGGTATGATTGCCAATGAGACAACTCTCCACAAGAGACTTAATGACACAGATATTAACAACTATAGGTCACCGTACGGCCTTCAACAATGAGCAAAGCCCATACCGCACAGTCAGCTTTAAAAGGCCCCGAAATGACAATGTAAAACAATTCAATCGAGAGAACTAACGGTCTAATTTATGTACAAAAAATGAACGAAAAACAAATATGAAACACAGCAACAAACGACAACCACTGAATTACAGGCTCCTGACGTGGGGCAGGCACATACATACAGAATGTGGCGGGGTTAAACATGTTAACGGGATCCCAACCCTCCCCTAACCTGGGATAGTGGTGTAGCAGTACAACATAAGAACGAACTATAAAAATCAGTTGAAAGAGGCTTAACTCATCAGATGGATAAAAATACAAATATACAAATACCAGTGGACGTGGCTGAGTACTTGTACATCCAAACAACAAAAAGACACTAAGTACAGATCTGAGAGTACTCGCAGTTACTGACAGCTAGTTCAAAGCCACTAACAACTAATAAAAAAAATCATGCATCTAAGTCGAAATTATCAATCTGTACACATCCAACATCTAATGGATTTATTGTAAAGACGTCATAAACAGTCAGAGAAAAACAAGACCTTGTGCAATGCCAAGATATAGGTATCGACAGATTGTAGATCTATGAATGTGTATATGTATATAACAATAACATTTAGTTTGGTTTTAATTTACTGATAACAAAATCAATATTAGTACCAATAAAAATAATATTTAATTATCTAATAACAGTGTTGAATTGGTAACCTTTTAGAATAACTTTGTTTCATAAGCCAGAATTTCAAACATACAAACATCATGTTTTACTAAGAAACAAATCATTTTCTGCTATATATGATGCCCTTTCACTAAATAGTTCAAAATTGGTGACTATGTTGACTGCACCTATCCCATAAAAATTGGAATAAAGCCTACGATAGATAAACTAGTTAAATCTTTCCTATATCTTGACTTGTATCTAGAAATAGAATTAGCTGACTATACTGTATGAGCTTTGCTCATTGTCAAAGGCCGTACGGCAACCTATAATTGTTAATTTCTGTGTCATTTGGTCTTTTATGTAGTACCATTCTTTAACTCCTCTTAGTGTTTTATAGCTGGTTTACATGTTCATAATAGGGCGATTAGTACTGTCGGCTAACTACTTTAGCCCTTTTATAATGAGATTTCTTCACAGACAAACATTTTGTATTTGTACTCCTTCATAACACGTTGGCGCGCTTACGTTACACATCGTATCAAGATAAGTATGTAGTTGGTTTATGGAGCTGTAGACTGAAAAATTTTGTCATCTTTGTTTTCAAGTACAAAGTGTACCATCTCCCTCTTTTGAGCCTTGTTTTCAAATATGATGGTTTTATTACTCTTAAATAAAAGCGTTTTAACGTTTGAAAAATTTGTTACTATACAGGAATTTTGTACCCAATAAAACGGATTTTTATATTTATTATCCAAATTTAACTCCATTGTAAATAAACTTACAAAACGTTGCAAATATTTTTTAATAATGTTACATATTTTGTGTAAATTTAATTTCTTTTGATTTCAATTTCATTTTAATGATTAGGAAATATACATTTTGTAATCGTATAATTCCGTACTTGTTAAAGCTGCTATGAAATAAACCATACGGTTTTCTTCATTCAAAATATTTATTTGAAATTCGTAAGTTATACCTGCAGTTCCGCAATATCCACTTATGTTCAAAATATAGTTTGTTGTGGCATTTCCGATACTAAATACGCTATACTCTGCATATCTCCAATTCCCTTCAAAATCTTCAAGGTGGATTAAAAGCTTGTAGTTTCCAGAAGACGTAAGTATATTAATGTATTTATTTCCTGTGAAAATTTGTAATAAAACTTAAATCTGCACAAACATGTTAATAGATCGGCATATTATTTGTTTTTCAATCCTATTATTTTCAAACAGCTCTTCAAAAGTCTTTACGTGTTCATATGCATGTATGATTTGTTAAAATGTTAAATTGTGTACGCAACTTTAACATGTTTAATTAAAAAACAAACATCACATAACATTAAAAAAAAAAACAATAAAATGAAATAAATTTCTTGATCGATTCCTATTTTCATGTGTTTTGAAAAATGAAGAACTATAAGTGTGTCGACTTTGTGGAATTACGCACAAAGATCCACATGGGTTAACTCTATTCGATGTCAAACTTTCATTTAAGACAGAATCAATATATTTAAATAGTGGTTATAATGGTCAACTCGATTCGTTTGGTATGCAAGTATGTATTTTTGCTATTCTTACGAAGTAACTGTGGATGAGCTATATTTGTGAAATAAACATTAAAAATCAATTAAAACATTGCGTTTGCTAGTTATGGTTCGTTTTAGTCAGGTTGGGTTATACTGAACAATCTACCATCTTAATTTTATATTCTTTAAAGGTTTTATTTAGAAACATTCCATTTCTCTCTTATTTAGACTAAATAAAATTAATGCTGACTATGCGGTATGGGGTTTGATCATTGTTAAAGGCTGTACGGTGAACTATGGTTGTTAATTTCTGTGTTATTTGGATTCTTGTGGGTGGAGAGGTACAATTCCTTGTTTTTATACAAAATATCAAAAAACGTCGTTACCGCACAATTCATCTTTCGACACAATTAAAATGAAGTTCTGTTAATTTATCGCTAAAATAAATGGACATAAAAGTAAATAATGCAAAACTTTTAGTAAAACTTTAAAAAAAAATATTTTTATCACATTCATGTGAAGGATTATTTAAAAAAAAATGAAGGTATGAAATTTTGTTCATTCATAGGAAATCCTACCTGCACTATTTAATTATATACCGTAGAGAAAATATTTTCTGCAAAAAGTATTTGTAAACTTTAAAGTACACAATTAGAATATTCAAATAATAACCTTTACATCAAACGTTGTGCTTTTCTTGACATTCTTATACGACGGGTGCCACATGTGGAGCAGGATCTGCTTACCCTTCCGGAGCACCTGAGATCAAACCCAGTTTTTGGTGTGGTTCGTGTTGCTTAGTCTTTAGTTTTCTATGTTGTGTCATCTGTACTATTATTTGTCTGTTTGTCTTTTTATTTTTGGCCATGGTGTTGCCAGTTTGTTTTCAATCTATGAGTTTGACTGTCCCTCTGGTATCTTTCGTCCCTCCTTTTTACCATGCAATCATTTTCCCATCTTCTCACATACACGTAATTTAAGACAATTGTGTATTCAAATAGGATAATACGAAACTTATGAAAGTTACATTAACAAGCTGTGTTGAATTAAAACAAAGTTGTTTAATTGGTTCTAAAGAGAAAATTACCCAACCAAAACTCCGAATTCAAATTTCCAAAACCAGTCTCATAATCCAACCATCCTCTGTAAAAATCGACAGTTCCATCCACTCTGCTTTGGAAAACCTTTGAAAAATTATATAACATTATAATAATAGAATTAGATAAAATACTTCCTGGCGCTTTGAAAGTGTAATATTAGTAAAGTGTTGTTTTCATTTTTCAGGCAGATTAGTCTATTTTCCACTGAATTCAGTTTTTATGTAGAGGCAGTAATATGTTTTCGTTATATTGTTAATCTTTTTAGGTCTCTTTTTTGTTATATAATTATTCACGTGTTTATATAGTTATGCATATCAGATTATCATACTTTGAGGTTTTAGCGTTCCTCCTGGTGAAGGTATATCAAGATATGTCTAAAGTTCCGTAAAACTGACTAAATTGGGTACCATGTTTTTAATTTTCAGTAAATTTACCTTTTAATCGAACTGTCAGCAATTTCAAAACAACAAATCAGGCTTCAACTTTCAATGAAGAAATGATGTATTGCAAGACTTGTTAAAATGATAAAAAAATATGAAACAAAATTCATAGAGTAAAGAGTCGTCCAATACACAGTAAGCTAAAACAAGGTTCGTAAGTTTCAGTTAGAAATTATAGATCCCGATAATAAATCGGAGATAACAAAAACTATCAATATTATATTGTAATATTAACGCCATCAACCCTAAATTTTAAAAAGGAAAACAATAAACCAAAAGGAAATTGTTCATTGTTGCTTTACATTTAATAATACAATCCTGCTTGTGATTCGATGAATATATCGTGAAACTATTCTGAGAAATACTGACAATCGGTAAAGTGAACATCAGCTGGTCAAAATTAAACTATTGATTGATATATCTTATTGTTTTTAAGGTTGTACAGAATCACCCTTTTTGAAATAACAATGCTGTTTTTTTATTTTCGTTTATACATTTAGTACATGTACACTACTCATAGATATCGGCATCTCACTGTTTAATATTTTTAAGATCATGGACAGGACTTGATACTGAAAATATTAGGCAATGACGTCATCTTTCAGGGCAGCAAGTCAAGTGTACAATCTAATCCGGGTCAATTTATCAATTAAATGCATTCGATTTCATTCATACGACCGAACAACTATCCCAACGTTTTGTACGCGTAAAATTAGTATTACTAAATATATCATTTTACTTCATATTCTCAACAACAACAAACACCAAAACATACACATTCGATAAATTACCGATAAAGTTTAATTCTATTAATATTCTATACGAATATAATGATATAATCATATAATAACAATAGACGATTAAAAATCAACGCCTTTACTTTACTTACAGTCCATCCAAATCCTGTTGTATCCATGTCACAGTAAACGTCAAAGTTTCCATCTGTTGGGTATATTGTATATACCCCGGATTGGCTTCCTTTGGGAAGATCATTGCAGTCACGTGGGCGAAGTTCTGGATAATATTTAAAAAAGTGTATTATGTTTTATTTATAACTTGATATCAACCTTATATATCAGATATAGTACACGACGATTGGATGTATTTGTGTTAACAATAGATCACATGGCCGTATGAATAATATGAGCTAGATACTTTCTAACTTATATTTTCATATACTCGTCTAGTTCCTTTTTGTTTCTTTATACGTGATCGCGTCGGTTTGTGTTGTTGATGTGACGTAACTGACGAAGATAACAATTTTACAATTTCATACTATTCAAGTGAATCACTTAATAATTAATTATTAAGATTATATATTTTTAAATCAGTTATTTAAGATATTTTTTACTATTCTTTAAACTATTATAAAATTAAGGAGATGAGGTATGATTGCCAATGAGACAAATATCCACCAAAGTTCAAAAAATTTAGATGTAAGCAATGAAAGGAAACCGTACGGCCTTCAACAATGAGAAAAAAAACATACTGTAAAGTCGGCTATAAAAAGCCCCGACATGAATAATACTAAACAATTCAACTAACGGTATAATTTATAACAAAACAATAAACGAAAAACAAATACGAAAGATATTGGTTATTTTACTTTATTTTTTATAATTAGTATTTTCCTATTTGGATGGGGGAGGATAGGGGAACGGGAACGCTCCGTAAGGAAACATTGGACGTTTTCTCTTTTTCCTTCAAGTAGCCACCTTGAAAACAGATAATAGTTTCCAGACCCCTACTAAAGATCAAAAGATTTCAACCCAGTCTCATTTTCTCAATACTTTTGTTCGTTATAAGGGAAAATAAATGCATACAATTTCTATTTACGTTATTAATATTCAATAAAGTATTGCATTAGTGGATCCAGGGCTTCAATGGGGGTTTGTTGTTTGTGACGTCTGGGAACTTTATTTGGATATATCGGTTATGTTCTCATTTACATTTACCACCCATTCATTCAATTTTAACTTCAGTTAAAAAAAACATTACTTTTCTGTACAGAACATGCTGAAATTCAGGACTTAGAATCATGTTTCTAGCAGAACAAAAAAACTTGTTTTGTTTCAGGTCTTCATATTTATGATATAGAAATGGCTTCGTTGAGATTCTTATGTGATTGGTTCGTAAACAGTGGTTGAACAAGTGTTCAACCAAGAAAACATAGTACTTTTAGAACAGCAGATTATTTTTTGAGGCTGTCATGCATAATGAAAAAGATATTTCAATGAGGTTATATTAGGCGTATTTCTCATTTTTATGCAAAGATCCTAACATACATTTTATTGAGGAACAAGACCCTGGTGAGAAGTATATGACGTGCAAAGAATGAAGTAATTACAGGGAAATTGATTGCCCACTTAACCACAACTGGTCGACCAAGGCGACCAGTAAAATTACACACTTGCAAAAGGTGGATGTGGTGCAATCAAATTGACCCAGCAATATTGCACATCTTCAGCATTTAATGGTGTTTTGTCTAGAAATGGCCATAGTAATTAACAAGTTCCAATTGAATCAACATAACGTGATCAAGTAAACCACATGCATGATGTTCTAAATCAGCAACAGTTTAAAAGCAAACACACAACAACATTCACTCTCAAATCTTGTGAAACCTTCAGGAAGGGAATGATTCGGCCTTTTACCAAGAGTGCTACTTCGAGGGGATGCGGATAGCATATACCCTATTTGACATTGATCGCAAAGGTATCATAATTTTGTAATGAGCTAATAAAAATGAGATTAGCAGATATAAAAGGATGTCAGGGTTGATAAAAAAAATGCGAGAGGACAATGATGTTATGTGTGATACTATTTTAAATGTGATGGGGAGTTAGGCAAACACTTAATGGGCTGTCCTGAAAAAAAATAGAAAATATCTTGCTGTTTATACGATAATAAAGTGGGAGAAGATAATTATTATGATGGGGAGGAGGGTAGGGGAAGGGGGAATACTCTGTGAGGAAACATTTGACGAGATGGTATAAAAAAGAGAGCGATAATAGGCATAAGAATGGGGAAGGAGGGTAGGGAAGGGGAATGCTCTGTCAGGAAACATTGGACGTTTTCTTTTTTTTACAAGTAGCCATCATGAAGTAGCCACCTTGATAACAGATAATAGGTCAGAGCAGAGAGTTGATGAACTAGAAATGTCAAAAGTCTCGTCCTTCTTCCAAAAAAGTTCATCGGGAGATACCAAGACCTTGTTGATAAATATTTCGTATCAACTTCACAAATAATACACAATGGTCTTGAAGTATAGATTCTAGTTATTGGCGTTCTGAACGTTTATAGTATTCTTTTATTTGTCTTTGTGAATATTACGTTCACTGTTAAGTCTATTTTTGGTAATATCCATTTGTCAATTTTTGCTAGTGTTCTTTGTCTATATGCCTTTTTGAGTTTCTTTGTTGTCATATTTGTTTGTGTTGATAGTGATTAAGATTATAACACAATGCTGACTGCAGTACCCTTATTTTTGACATTTTTGCCTATTATGTCTTTTTGTTTTGTTCACACATCGCTGTCAAAATAATGGAATTTTATGCGACTGTCGTACAAGTGAGAGGTTTAGCTAGATATATAATCAGATTTAATCAAACATTTTCTACATAAGAAAATGCCTGTACCAACTCATGGATAAGGCAGTTGATATCCATTCGTTTGACGTGTTTGGTCTTTTTATTTTTTCATTTGATTAGGGACTTTCCGTTTTGAATTTTCTTCGGAATTCGGTATTTTTGTTCCAGTTCAACAAGTGAAACCTGACTTGGTGCTCTTGTTAAAATAGAATGACGAGTCATATCTAGTAATTAGGCATATAGATCATATTATATTGGATTTTATAAATGTCTCTTTTTAAACCTTAGAATCACAAATTTTTAAATATGTAAAAACCATTGGTACATGTAAATTATCCAAAATCTAGCCGAATGTCTACGTTAAATTGGGAATTGATGCCATGAAAAAAATTGGTAAAGTTATCCACTCAATTTGACCGTTACAAACAATGTTGACTTAGAATATTAATTGCATTATATTATACATGGTTGTGAAATATAGACTGATTGGCAGTCGAATTTGAAATAGCGGCCACAAAGGATTTTGCAGAGTGAGTCCATAGCTTAAATTGACTACCATATATATACATGTAGCTACAATTGTGCAAAGTTTCATGCCTTTATCATCAAACGCAATATGCAATATGCACGAATCAGCTAGACTTGATATTTTTTAACTTACTAGTGCTGCTTTCTGATAACTTCAAAGGTAATAGAGAACAATAGTATTCTGTTCCCTTTGGCATACATGCCTCATTGAGTTTACAATTATTACCATTGCAATGGCCAGCTAAGTTCTGAAATTTGAAAGGTCAAAAGTTACATGAACATGAAAACTCTATTCTATATCTATGTAAATTTCTGACAGAGGAACGATACAAATTGTTTGAACTGGGGTATTACAGAGGCATTCTCAGTGTTCTGAATGAACTAAAGTAATATCGTTCAAATATGACTGCGTTAATTTGAAAATTTATAACAATTGGACCATTTTTTCCCTAAAACGTTTTTTTTTTTTGGCGCAAAACAAAATGAATAATGTGAATAGTTTTAAGATATGCCGTAAATTTTGTATCCTTTTAATCAAAGATATTTCTAATGTTCTCGGTGTGACTGAATGAATTATTAAATGAATTTACTGAAATAGTTATTGGAAAACGTTATAACAAATAAAAACAACCAACCGATTACAATCAATATAATAAAACTGCAGAATGTTCCGCATCAAATCTGTTTACCCCAAATGTCCTTAGACAATGTAATACATGTAATAAACAACACACACCTGACCACAAAAATTATCATCGAAATGGTTTATAAAGTACATATGTAGGACTCTAAAGTGCGATGGGGACGCTAAAGTACGATGGTCACGCTAAAGTGCGATGGTCTGCGCTAAAGTGCGATGCCTCCATACGCTAAAGTCTGATGGTCCGCGAAAGTATAGACATAAGAAACGTAGTTGGATTGTGACGTTAACATTCGTTTATAAATACAAACCAAAATGAATATGCCGTAATATAAATTAAGAATACTTGATTGACAACTTTAAAACCAAATGTCCATGCTTAATTTCAGATCTAACCGTGCTTTGTCGGCTGAAGCAAATGTGTTTTTTGGGGGTGCTGGAAGAAGGACTTGCAGTCGACCATTTTACTATATAGATACAAAATAGTATACGCATAGGTATCCTGTATCCTGCTACTATTGGAAGCGAACGGATACATTTAAATCATTAAATAAAGGTACATGTTTTTAGGCGTAAATTATAATTTGTCGGCTAAAACATAAGTTTGTACAGTGTGGGAAAATATAACATGTATTAGTATTCGTTACAAAAAAGGAGAAAGCTTGGCGAATATAGCATTTTTCTTGCATTTAAATTAATGCTTCAAGCCTTGTATACAAATAAGTGTTACTTATTCCGACAATGAACGCATTTTGTATTTGTAATTTACAATGTCAGACGACTGTAAAAGGGGGGATGTTAAGATTGGGTATTGATAGACTGTGTGAGCGACAAGCTACACCAATTATCCAAATATTTGCTACGCCCAAATTGTTAACAATTCATTTAACAGGAAATACAGTATTTTGTCACACCTAAATTACCTTTTCAGCAATTATTACGTGGTCGGTCTTCTAAGTTTAGAAACAATCACTTAAGCCTACCGGTAAATTATAAAGCCTTTCACATATGTTATAGTCCAGTCAATATGGCTAAAATAATCGCCCAACCTCAAACTATAATTGCCTTAGCATACTAACTTTTGCAAAAGTACTATTTTTATTTTTAAATCCATGTATTTTAACGTTTTAGTCCCTCGAACCTTACCCTATTGGTCCATTGCACTTTAGCGTGATATACATGTACCATCGTACGGTTTAGCAAATAAACAACCATCGCACTTTAGCGTGAGACACCATCGTACTTTAGCGTAGACAATCGCACTTTAGCGTGGCCATCGCACTTTAGAGTACCATCGCACTTTAGAGTCCTACACATATATTCCAATTGAAAAATATCTTCCGACTTCAATTTCGTTTTGCATTCATTTCAAAAATAAGATTTTTAAATTGTGTAATTTGTTTTAGCTTGAGCTATCTGAAAAGAGAGGCGAAATATACCAAAGGTTCATACAATCTCACAGGTGGAAAATAAAATGACAATTAACAACATGGATAAAAAAAAAACCAACAGACAAACAATAGTACACAAAACACAACTTATAAAACTCAAAAGTGAGCAACACGAACTTCACAAAAAAAATGGGGTGATCTTAGGTTCTCCGGAAGGGTAAGCAGATCATGATCCAGATGTGGAACTCGTCATGTTGCTCGTGTTAGTGCAAACCCGGTAATAAGTCTAAATCGGTAAATTATATTCGAGGAAAAGGGAATGGGATTTTACTTAACCCATTGGGAACATATCCTCTATTATCTGTGAAACGGATATTCCATAACGGTCAACCAACTCGTGATTGCGTCCGTAACATTTACGAAGGCAATGATTTCAACTTCAGCACTTGGAACCTTTGATTTAATATCTTCCTTGTGAGCAGCAACCCTCTATCAAGGACATCATGATAGGAAATACAAGCCCTGAAATAGCGTATCAACTTGGAGATATATATTCCGTATGCAGGCGCTGCAGGAATATTGCTACATAGAAATTGAAAGTTCACAATTTGGATGCTGTAATCATCCCTTCTGTCGTTAAGTTTATTTTCCAACCGACTTTGCTCATTGTTCATTTATAGATATAAGTCAAGATATGAGGCAGACTTTGGCGTCAACAAACTAGTTCAAACCCGCTGCATTTGTTTGCACCTGTCCTAAGTCAGGAGCCTGTTGTTCAGGGGTTTTCGTTTGTTGATGTGGGTCATAAGTACTTCTCGTATCTCGTTTTTTATATAGAGTAGACCGTTGGTTTTCCTGTTTGAATTATTTTAAACTAGTTATGTTGGTGCCCTTTATAGCTTGCTGTTCGGTGTGAGCCACAACTCCGTATTAAAAACTATACTTTGACATATAATTGTTTACTTTTTGCACATTGTGACTTATACTGTTTTTATTTCTAATAACTGTATCCTTTATCTTAAGTTCGATTGGATAGATGCTTTCAACATAATCACCAGATTTTGAATTATTTATTGAAAGAACATCATCAAGCGGAAAAAATACAGGACACAGCTAACTTCTTCATATATACTCTATATGTAGGCGCTGCTGGAATGTTGCTACATAGAAATGGAAAGTTGACAATAAACTGAATTCATCTCTTTTGTCGAAACGTTTTGTTTTTAAGTGACCCTCATTGTCAATTTCTAGATGTAGGTCAAGATATATGAGGCAGACTGTACCTGTCTTTTATCTCAAGTTCGATGGTATAGATGTGTTCAACATGGTCACTAAATTTTGAATTACTTTATGTGAGAACATCATCTTCATAGCGGAAAGTAGTTAAAGGATACTGCTTACTTCTTTTCTTTTCCTCTAAGAAGTTCCTGTATGACGTCAGCCTCATATCAATAAAGGAACAAGTCGGAAAGACTTTGAATTAAGTGATTATGTACAAAGTAGGGTTTATCCCTCTCTAAGACAAGATACTTGTATATATGTTGGCTATTTTATTTAATGAAACAAAGCAGGACAAACTCTTTGAATTTGTCTTTTAGTTTGAAATGGGGAGTACTTGTGTAAAGTGTAAAAAGTCAAATGTTTTAATACTATTGCAAGATGAAAAAGTCTTAGATTGTATGTACTCAAAAAGATCTTTGGGTTTTTTCAGTATCTACATCTGATTCACGCCACCTCTAGAATAGGTAGTTTCGAAATAACTTTGAATCAGGGCTTTGATTGCTGATAAAATTGATGTTAATAATTAAAAAAGAGGTTTTGTCGAGCACTTGGAATACCAAGCAATATACAGTTGTTTGTAAAGACGCTTATGTAGTTTAGGTATCTTATAAAGTAATGAAATATCCCGTTCGTCATCTTTGGTTAAAATTCTGAAGGAAAATAGAACAAACCTTTGATTATCCAGGATTTCCTCTTTGGTAAGTGTTGTAGGGGTATATGTTGAGTTTCCAAGTAAATTGTCAATGCCTAGTTCATTTATCAACGACCCCACTGCCTTAATTCATTCGGAAAGAGTATCGTTGTCTTCTATCTCGCGTTTTACCCATTGTCTGTCATAATCCTTGACTGAATCCGTCAGTATTTTAAATTTGGGTTTCCATTTGATGAATATAGGTTCTCGATATGTCGAGCCTTTGGATAACACATTTTGCAGAGAATTTTTATTGGCCACTTTTAGGTCACCAGTAATAACGGTCAGCTAGATTATATATATGAATAGGGAACTAGAACATGTCCAATCAGGAGGTTTGAACTTGAAGTCGTCAATATTGACATGATTGAGATCCTGCAACACGTGTTTGTAATTGAAACTTTTAGTTGCAATTGGTTTAGTATAGGTATAAGAAATGGTAGGTACAGACTGATCTTTCTAAAAGGGAGATATACATGGGTGAATTGATATATGATGTAGGATATTGCCCAAGTTGACAAGACTATGATAGTACCTTTCTAATTCGGTCAATGAGAAAAGGCATTTTTGTTAAATTAATGTAAATATTGTTAGACGTTTCAAAAGTGTACACATAATAATAGTAACGCATACATTTGTTTATCAATGGAAATGAAAGAAGTAGGCTCTCAATGAAAAATTACACTTTTTACAATGATGTGCGTCTGACGCGCTTTTTGAATTTACCTGCATCGTGAACACAAAAAACAAACCTATTTAATTTGTAGGCTAGAGTATCATAAGACTTGAAAGCGTTAGTAGCAACGTGATGAAAACGGACATAAAGAGAATAACCAAATTCTAAAACGTAACTTTTATCTTCAAATTTAATTAACAGTTCCCTGAAAAATTGACAGCACCTAGATGGACCATTTTATCGCACATAAAGCACGAGCTGGTGGGTCCATTTATGTATGGAACCTGGAGGGATAAATGTATTTAACTGTTGATCCATGAAATGAATAGTTGGTGCCACGTTGACTGTATGCAGTCGTAAGAAGCAATTTTACATAAAATTTCTGTAAATGTTTTAAAGATATTTTCGACACGCAAAATATATAACATACTTTTACACATAATGACTTTGATATTCATATTAAAATTAATTATCCCCTTCAAGTACACCTCTGTGCAAAAGATAAAACAAAATTCAAGGTTTTTATCAACGAGGCATCAATCCTACTAGGAAAATACATCTACCAGAAAACAAGCAGTGGTACAAAACTGACATGTGTCTTTTCAATATACAAGACACTCAAATTGTTTTGGTTTGTATATCTAATGTTTGCCAACGAGTGTTACATTATATGACTTGTCCTAATGATCTGCGAAAACAAAACGTTCAGAGCTATAATTGTATAACTCTAAACCATCTATAGTTAAAAGGAATTGTCTGGAAATTATTTAAAAACTGTAAAAAGGAAAATACTTTTATATGATGTTATGTATAGCGATTTTTTTGCTACATTTTTTTTAAACTAATTATATTGTATTTACCTCAGGAAAATTCGAGGACACTACCAAGCTGTTTCCAACACTCTCAAGGACTTCACAATTACTGATCCCGGGTTCATCATCATTTATCTGGCAAGTTTTATTCCATGATATAAAGTTAATAGATTTGCATATTTTTACTCTCGAGCAGTACTGAGCACATATCGACCACATTGGCATTAATACTTCAAACAGCACATGACCTATATATATTTTGTCTTTTTGTTTCTTGATAACAACTATTTCACATAAAGCCGAAACAGAAAGGATAACTAGTAAGAATGTCGAGCGGTACATTTTTATCAGTTGAACCTTCACAAAGAGTTGTTATGTTACTTTGCTTTGCATGTAATCTTGTAGACAGTGTTCATTGCATAGCACTAACAAAATATGTAATAAACTTTAAACAAGCCTTTTAAATGTTTAATATGCACACATTAATAAGTTGAGTGCACATTTCAAATTAAATAGATTTCGTTTTCTAATTATAACGCAATATATATTCTCTTGGAATATTCAGAGTTTCCATTCAAACAGCTTTTAAACTATTTAAAATTAAACAAATCATCAGGCAGTCGGTTTAATTACAATTGGTAGAAATACATGCACAAAAGATTATTATATAATGTCTGTTTGTGAAAGTCTTTGTCAAAGTAGTTATTAACATTTTTGTGTTGAAAGTTTGACGTAATATAGTACATTTTTGTTAACTAAAACTGGTAGAAATACACGTGGGATTGTTAGATAATGTCTGTATGTGAAAGCCTTTGTTAAAATTAAATAAATTGATCACAGTTTCGTTCTGAAAGCTTGACATAATATAGTACTTTTTTCAAATTTCGTATTTGATTTGACTTTTTAAAACTTTCAATTTGAGTCCCACCGATGAATTTAATATATAAGAAACACGTGCGTCTAGTAATCTACATAATAAGCCTTGTAACTTTGGTGAGTTTTTTCAACGTTAGTAAAAGTTTAAAGAATAAGGTTCATACAAATGATCGTGAACAATAATAATGCGACTACGACATGTAAAATAGTTAGCCAGTTTTCAAAAACTCACCTGAACATTATATCAAAGATATATTAAAAAGCCCTTAGTTATCAAAATGTAATGGCAAATGTTACCGTCTAACAAATAACATATTCAACAAGTTCTGCATGAGTAAATTATAGGTTTCAACGAAAACATAAACTATAAGTTCTGTTTTGATTAAAACAAATGTATACTCAGCATGACATTGCAGACTTTTTTTCAAATGCAGACTATTAAACATTTCAAGCTATATATGTAGAGAGGGACTCTTCTATTATTTTACATATATACATAAGCACTACTGCGTTTTGGCGATTTTAGATGTATATTTACGCAGGCAGGATTATAGCGTATTGAGTTTTGTTTTATTTAATGAGGTTCAAGATCATGAATTAAATCAATATACCAAAACTTACCTTTATTATTGAGCTCTGTTATGGTCATCTGTAATTGATGTGTGTATTTTCCATTATTGATTTTATAGCAATAAAAGTCGATACATTTTACCTTAAAACATTTGTTTTGTTTTATTATTATTCGTGACTTAACTGTCAGAAACTGCGAGTTCTTTCAGATCTGTACTTAGTGTTTTTTGTTGTTGTGGGGATGTATAAGTACCCTCTCGCTGCTTCCACTCTGTGTTTTTGTTACTTGTTTTTGCTTTGTATCTATCTTATGAGTTAAAACCTTTTGAACTTATTTTCATAGTTTGTTCATGCATGTAGTTTGAACTGTCACAACATTGTTTCAGGTTAGGGGAGGGTTGTGCGCCCATTAACATCTTTAACCTCGCCACATTATATATGTGCCTATCCCAGGTCAGGAGCCTGTAATTTAGTGTGTGGCGTTTGTTGCTGTTGATCATATTTGTTTTTTGTTTATTGTTTTGTACTGTTCATGCGTTGTTCTGTTGCACCACTGTCCCAGGATAAGGAGAGGGTTGGGCGCCCGATAATATATTTAACCCCGCCACATTTTATATGTGCCGGTCCCAAGCCAGGAGCCTGTAATTCAATGGTTGTCGTTTGTTGCTGTATATCATATTTGTTTTTCGTTTATTATTTGTTACATACATCAGGCCGTTAGCTTCTCGTTTGAAAAGTTTTACATAAAATTATGTCATTTCGGGGCCTTTTATAGGTGATTTTGCGGTATGGGCTTTGCTCATTGTTGTATACCGTACGGTGACCTATAGTTGTTACTTTCTGTGTCGTTTTGGTTTCTTGTGGTGGAGAGTTGTCTTATTGGCAATTATACCACATCTTCTTATTTTTATATGTATATTTGTTTTCAGTTGTCAGAGATATGTTCAATTGAGATACGAAAAAAATTGTCTGTGCGTATTTTTTTTTAATTTTTTTTTTGTATTCTGGTAAATACATTCGATATTTATTCCAATTAACACAAATAACAAATAAAAAAGAAAACCAATTTCAATGCAATACTACCATAAAATTTATGTACTTTATTAAATCAAATGAATTTTTCAAATTACCGTTCCTTGACATTGCAGATAATAACTAGGAATTATCCGATTTAATGAGAATAGGATTTTTTTAACGGTTTATATTTGTTGATTTTAATCATTTATTACTAGGCTTCAAAACACTCTAATTTTACCTGCAAATTCCTTTTTTTGTTGTTTTGTGTGACCGTAAACGAAAAATTTAGGAAATTTTCCATTTGTAAAGGGGCATAACTCTAGAATGGTAACAGTGACGCTACTTAAATTCAAACTTGGTCTGTGTTTTGTGGTAGTTAGCGTGTGTATAAGTTTCATAACACTTGGTTGAGGCAAACTAAAGTTAGAGAACGGAAACCAATTTTGCAACGTACGGACGGACGGACGGACGGACATGTACATCTAGACGGACAAAGGTTATACGGCGAGGACATACAAATTACGACAGACTTTGCAATTGTTATTTTGAGGGTTACTTATTGATATTGATAAATCAATATGTGACATTGAAGATGAATTATTGTAGGATGGCACAGGGTTATGTCATAAATTTATTATTTAGTTGCTATTCTTGTGTCTCGTATTATTCAAACCGGTCAAAACAAAATTCACAAAATCAAATGTTTTATTTATGTAGATACATGTCATGTTGCCAATTGAGTTTCCTTAACTGTAACAATACAAAATCTCATTTGTTTTTCTTATATTAGTCTCAGGTAAGTATAAATATATCACAACATATTTTATTTTATGATTTAAAAGCACTTCATCGATAATTCAGTAGGTTCGATAACTATTCAAATAGGTCTCTTTTATTCTTTTTTTATCAGTTAGAAATAGAAGTAAATCTAACAAAAACACTCGCCGTTACTGACAGCTAGTTCAAAGCCAATAACAACTAATAAAATAAGTCATGCATCTAAGACTAAAACTTTTTTCAATTTCCTATTGAAGATATCTTCAAATTTTCCGAACGGCATCAACATTTGTAATTGTATAAGCCTTTGTAGTATTTCACAGGATGTTTGAAAGTTAAAAGGAATAACAAATAAATTGTAATGGATCAAAATTTACAACAATTTATTATGTCAATGCAACGGTTACCTAACAAGATAATAAAAATCTTATAACTTCTAGTCTATACAAGTGCAGTAGATGAATTCAATAGAGATGACTTCTAATATTATATTTATGTTTCAGAGTTTGTTATCATTTTTCACGAAAAGGAGATAAATTAACAACAGAAATCAAGAATCGCCTGTCAAGATTACTTAACCCGTATGGTATAAATGAAAATAATTTCAGTTCTTTTGATCGGGATAAAAAAACATGTGAAGCAAAGACAGAAAGGGTAGAGCTTAACGTAGTGTATAGCTTATGACCACATATATGAGACTGTTATATGGCCATAAAAATTCAAAATAAATTTACTCAAAATTAAAAATGAACCAATCAAACTCGATTTTTTCTAACATGCTCTGAACAAGAACTTTTTACAAACACAGAGAAAAAGTTTTACGACAGAGAGATCAATCATTGCAGACATTTAAACAAAAACAAACAAACAAAATAACCATGAGAGACTACAGTTTTTGCAAGCAGGACTCCCTTGAAAAAATAATAGTGATATATGTTGCTCATGTGCATTAGAATATCCTACACTGCATGAAGGAAACTTTATTAGATGTAAATAAATAATTTGTACCATTGTGAACAACATGTTTGATACGGTTAGTTTCTCACAATGATACGGTTAGTTTCTAACAATTCTAATTTAAAAAAAAATATTTTTCTTACGTACCTAATCCAAACAGAAGATTTGGGAAAGGCAAATGTATATTGAGGCCAAACCAGTGAGTAGTATTATTTACAGCTAAATTTTGGTCCATCTGAACTTTATACTTCAACATAAAACTTTTCCTGTTACATCTAGTACTAGAAATAGAGCATTTGCACCCCATATTACACAATAAGTGAATAAAATCGATCCTGTAAATATAAAATCACAGTTAGTACCATTGATCGTTTATTTTCTCCTCCAGCTCATTGTATTGTCTCTTTTGAACACAAAAATAATGAACCGTTATCATGCACGAATACGGAAGCCCTTTTAGGACCTCCAACATGTCCAATAATATTAACATTTTTTGTAATTCGTAAAAACGGATTAAATTCGTTATTACATTTTTTTTTATAACTCGTGATAACGGATTACATTCATGATAATTATTTTGTTCAATTGGCAATCACAGTTTTTTGTAAACCGTGATTTCGGATAAAATTCTTTATCATAGATTTTTTTATAACTCGTTATCCCTATTTATAAAATTCTTTACTGCGATTTTAATCCGTTATCGAATTAAAAAACAATGTGTCAACGAATTTGATTTAAAAGCAAACTAAATATGTTTGTTATATACATATGCACATTAATCTACAATCTGTCGGTACCTGTATCTTGGCATTGCACAAGGTCATGTTTTTCTCTGACTGTTTATGACATCTTTACACTAAATCCAATTGATATTGGATATGTAATGATTGATAATTTAGTCTTAGATGCATGATATTTTTATAAGTTGTTATTGGCTTTTACCTAGCTGTCAGTAACTGTGAGTACTCTCAGATCTGCATTTAGTGTCTTTTTGTTTTTGGGATGTACAAGTACCCGGCCATGTCCACTCTGATTTTTTGTTAGATGTATTTCTATTTGTATCCATCTGATGAGTTAAGCCTTTTCCAACTAATTTTTATAGTTCGTTCTTATGTTGTACCGTTACACCACTGTCCCAGGTTAGGGGATGGTTGGAATCCCGCTAACATGTTTAACCCCGCCACATTCTGTATGTATGTGCCTGTCCCAAGTCAGGAGCCTGTACTTCAGTGGTTGTCGTTTGTTGCTGTGTTACATATTCGTTCATTTTTTTGTACATAAATTAGGCCGTTAGTTTTCTCGTTTGAATTGTTTTACATTTGTCATTTCGGGGCCTTTTATAGCTGACTATGCGGTATCGGCTTTGTTCATTGTTGAAGGCCGTACGGTGACCTATAGTTGTTAATTTCTGTGTCGTTTGGTCTTTTGTGAAGAGTTGTCTCATTGGCAATCATACCACATCTTCTTTTTTAGATATATATAAATAAGTTAGCAATCAAACTCTTAATAATGATGATTCGGGTTTTGTTTTGTGAAGACAAGCACTAAGGCTCATGCCTATGTTATTCATCAACATAAAGCTGTTACAGTAGGTACCAGATAAGGAGGATTGCTGGGAATTTGATTTACATCGCTGTTGTGTTATATTCTGTATGATATATAATCAACAGCATACACTGTGATCATGGAATTTTTTTGTTAGAATCCCCTAGGCTGATTGTCAATTAAAAACAACATGTATACTCCTCTTTATTGCTGCATTCTGGACTACAACAACATGTGGTACCAATCCATAGAAGATGTGGGTTGTCTTCAATCTCCAAATCATAAGCAGAAATTCTTAGGTTCATTTTTTGGTATGGGAAACTCCGGAAATCACTCAGATCGAAATTGATAAATCAGGGCAACATTTCATTCCATGTAGTAGAATCTGTGTAAACTTGATTGAATTGAGTCGAACTGTTTTCAAGAAATTGCAGATTGTCACATTGATATGAGCAGAAATGATTAAATCTTTTTTGTTTTATATTGGAAAACCCACATATCACTCAGATAAAAATTGAAATAGCAGGTGCACACTTAAACCTCTGTAGACAAATGTTCAAGTGTGGTTGAACTTTGTCATGTCTGTTTCAAAGAGTTTATCAAACTTATATAAGCAGAAACGGCTTAGTCCATGTTTTGGTATAGAAAACACTAGACATCACTTAGATGATAACGTTTTCAAGGAGGTTCGAAATGCGGACATCGACAACGACGACAGAAGTGATCCCTGTGTGTCGTTAAAAACAGCTTGATTCAATAAAATTTTATATCACTCTTCCAACCAGAAAACACTGTCTGCATGATTCTGACTTGAATTTAATTAGACATTACCTATAACTCCTACTGCAAAATCATTCCTTCCAAACAATTCATACACACTGTCCCATAAATTCTGCCAGAAGTTTCCTGATGCTGCCCACAATTGATGCAAGAACCTAAATATAGTGGCAAATTATTTAAATAGTACTGACATAACAACGTGTATAAATGAAATATAAGGAAGCATAAGTATCTGTTAAAATATTCATGTTTTGTTCTCTATTTAAATGAAGGTGCCATTCAGAGACATTACAGGGGAAACATTAATCTGTTCAAATACATTGTTCAATATGATATTAACTTAAATGTTCATCATGTTTAATATGGTCTCTGTTAAAAAAAAAACAAGATTTGGAAGATACCAGGGGGGCATTCAAAACTCATAAGTCGAATAAAAACTGACAATGCCTTGGAAAAAAATAACTGAAAAAAAGAAAATTGAAGATTGAGGAACACAAACTCCACAAAACACCGATGTTTACTCGGGTGATCCCCTAGGGTAGTTGTTCCTTCTCCACATGTGTTGCTAATGCAAATACCAATCCGGTGATGTCTTATTCGGTAATGTCACAATCGGTAGAAAATGGACGGGATTGTGGTTACAACAGTTATCCGTGGTTTTCTCTAACATAGATACCTTATAACTGTCAACCAACTCGAAGGCGTGACTTAAACTCACCATTTGAAACACTTGGTTCAATAGCTTCATTTTTAGCAATAATCCTCTAACTAGGAAAAGCAAATACTGAAATATCGTATCAATAGGCAGATATATACTAGTTCTCTATCTGCACATGATGCAGGCGCTGCTGGAATGTTGCTACATAGAAATGGAAAGGTCACAATTTTGAACGTCAGATTAGCCGGCGACCTTGTCCTCAATTTAAATATCAAGCGTCAATAATCAAACTACCTTAGTTTAATATGTAATGTTTATTGGTTAAATCGAAATACCTTTTCTATCAAATATCCAAGGAGAGGAAACGCTTACAAAATGGCACTAGCCCAATCGAACTTGTGTATTGCATTTACGATATTTTGTCAACATAACGGAATTATAAATAACTCGTAAACAAGTGAGTGAGAGGATTAGCTAGTAATAAAACCAGGTTTTTTCTTCGAAAAATGCCTGCACCAAGTCAGGTATATGACCGTTGTTTTCCATTTGTTCCGTTGGTTGATATAGTCTAACGTTTGATTTATTCGGGTTTAATGGATTTTTTTTCTTTTCTAATTTATTTTGGAGTTCGGTATTTTTGTAAATACTGTTTTTCGATGAGTTGCAACTAACAGCGTGTGCGAACACTTTGTTGATATGCGTTTTCTGAGTTGTAGCAATAATAAGCAACATTTGGAAAATGATCTCCTGCGATTGGACGTTAAATAGACAAGACATACGAGAGACATGGTACGAAACAACAGCGCAAGATCATCAAATAGCAGATAATTCAAAAAGTAATTAGACAAAAATCAATTGACGGTGGAAAGGTGAACGGACATAATAAGAATCAGTAGACTCTGAAAAGGTTTTGCAAAAGGTGGACAGACTTAATAGTCAGACGTCTTAGGATAACAAAATGGTAATCGGAATAGTTTCTAAAGATCTTTCAACATTAAACATTAAAATTGTGATTTGGTCGAAACTGCAGGAGTTGATTGACATTTTTCAATTATTTGAATTATTTTATCTTGCTAATCATTTTATCCTATTTGCAAGTTCCTCTCTGCCTATAAGAGTTTTCAGTAAACAGCTAAAAACTTAAAATTTGGTACAAATTCTGATTTAAGTGCAAAAAACTCCTATGACATGTTTAATGAGTCTTATGACAGATTTGTCCGAAATAGACAACAGGTAGAATCTGACATTCTGAACATTTCTGACACTGACGTAAATGATGGCAATAGTTCAAACAGTACTATGGGCAAGATGAGCTGATAGTAATAATAATAATAATCATAATAATAATAATACTATTAGATAAAAGCAAATTGTTCAGAAAACAGAAAAGGTCTTTCAACCCCAAAGGAACATATTTGATAGGAAAATATTAAACCCCAGTTTAAAATGTTTATTCTAGTGTCAGATAATAGCTTAATTTACGCCGATTTCAAAACATGCATGGTTTCTACATACTTCTGCTAAAAATAAAGGAGATAATAATGTACTTTAGGTTTACAGAATTTCACTTCCTTGTTTCATTTGAATCTTACATCACATTAATTCCAAAAATATAACGTTTTAGTAACTTTAACATGAAAATGATGCAAAAATGACCTCTTCCAGTTGACCTTCAAGGTCATATTTCTTCAACCCAATGTTCAGGTCCTTTGACTTTATCATGTACCAATAAGAAGTTACAGCAAAGGTCAACATTTAGAACGTCAAATTAAACTTTGACCTGGATCTGAATTTCAAGGTCATAAAGTAAGGACCTCAAATAAAAAGATCCTAGGTCTTTACTATATATATATGGTTGATGAGTCATATCATCATAACCTTAATTTTAAATATAAGAGGGGAGAAAACTCACGTTAAATGTTAACATACCCTTTCAATCAAAATTTAAATGTTATGACATGTCGCAACTAACAATTTAGTAAAAAAATATTTTGTCGATATCTTATACAGTTTCTGAGAGATAGCGATAATAAGCCTAAATAAAAATTCAGAACATGACCTTGATCTTTGACCTTTACCTTATTCTCTTTTTGGTGTACAAATGACCTCAAGTCAAAGAACTTAGGTCTCTTTTACTTATGGTTTACCAGTTGTAAATACATATCACTATATCAAATACATAAGGGGTAATATCTCTCATATGGAGTCTCTGGATCTCTACGGTCAAAATATTTTTCAACATCCTGACGATGTAACAAGCAATTTGGAAAAAATAAATTTATCAGTTTCTTTCACGATTGCAATGCAGTAGAGATAACAGTGTTCAGGGTGATAACTCTTATAAGGAAAAATGTTCGGTGAAGCGGTGTCAGTTTGGAAAGCGTATAAACTGTTCGATATCATAAACCAAATATCTTAGCAAACAAAAACCGTAAAAATTTAAAATCAAGGAAGTAAAAAATTAACAAAATCAAAATGTCTTACAACGAAAAGTGGAATGACCTAATAATAATGAGAACAATATCAAAAGGCTTTTCCACGGGAAAGTGGATAGACCTTATAATACTAATAATAATATTAATCAGAACAAAAATGGTCAATCACGGAAATATTGAAACAACAGTTAAGAAAATTAATAATACAAAAAGCAAAAGGTATTTCAGCACGAAAAGATGAAAAGGCATAAAAATATTGAGTGTGAAGATATTTGATGATAAAATGTATAATTACCCTCTGCTTCCTTCCATACCTCTGAAAATTAAATAACTCAAGGCTGCCATTTGTCATTTTAAATATAATAAAAACAATTGTCAAATATAACTGCATATCAACCATATACTAAACAGTGTGTAAAAGTCTTGACATACGTAATACCACAAACAATAATATAAATATCGCACGATTGCAGATTTGACACACCCAGTAGACTGTAAAAGAATTTAATCATTTAGTGTATTAGATATTTTCTTAACAGATTAACAATTATTTAATTGAACACGCGTCAGATATCTTTATTCATCCTTACCCTTTAAATCTTTTTTGGCAATTCCAATTGTTACGACAATTAATGTTTACTTTATTAAGATAAATTCAAATATTGTTATCGCTATTTAATATATGTGCATGATGTATGTTTTTTTTTTTATTAAATTCAAATGAAAAACTCGGACAATACAAGCAATCAGTCAGTGTTGATTACCAAACAGCAGTATTGATTTTTTTCCCATAAACTTAAACAAATCATCGTTTGGAAAAAGATGTTCCTGTTTAATTTCAAATTTATAAGTGCTTCCCCATTAATAAATTCCAGAATTCCAGCTAATGCCAGTGATAGCCAATTTGTGTCCACCTTCCCGTATTCTGTCTGTTTTATCAACTTTCACATTCGTATTGTTGAGTCCTGAATATGCATGACTTGAGTGTTTGTATGGTTTTTTTTATTTTCTTAATACTCTTTAACAGTATAATCCGTAGATTATCTTGTTTGAAAGATATTACTTTTTAACATTACAAACACCACAAGTGCAAAAGCATACTTTGTTGGTTAAGCCAAGTATGGTCGGTTCGATAAAGTACCTTTTGGTCGAGATTTCAGGAAATAAGAAATGAGATTTCAAGAAGTGTCTGTTTTTGTCAGACACCTCGTCAGTGGTATTTTTCTATGTCTCAATGGTTTTTATCAAACTATGATGTTAGTTGAAAATAAATTTTTATTTGGAATGGTACATGTCTATTGTTGAAGACTATATTGACCTCAATATACCATTTACTTGTCGTCGGTTTGCCGTCTCATATGCTTATCTCCCATCATCCTTTTATTCTCAACTATTATTTCCAACGATTTTCCCCAAATTCTTACAAAATAAAAAAAAGTATATAGATTTGGCATCATTATTTTCTGCAAATTAAGAAAAAGTCCACACACAATTCATTTAATGGCCAATTTTGCTCATTGTAGCCCATTTGCCTTTGGATTGTTCTGTAAATTGGTGTTTTATTAAATATTTTTTTGCTGTATCTTTGAAAATGTCCACACCTATTTGCATACTTTAGACTTCTAACATGTTGTATGGAAACTAGTCAATTGACATCTAAACCTCATCATTCAAATTTCACATCTATTTGTTGTGGTTGTCATTGGTGTGTGTTACTGTATCTACTTATATTTATAAACATGTACACTAAGACCCTTACAGAAAACTAAACATTGAGCAATACGAACCAAACCAAAACCTGAAGGAAAACCCGGAAGTTTTAAAACATAAGCAGTTCCTGGTTCACATGTTGCATCTGTCATCAAAAGTACACATTCGGTGATAACTCGTTTTCTGTGATGTTACTGTCGGAAAGCTGACCCCGGTTTGATGCTATTTTATATGTTCGCCATTTCTGTCCTTTTTTGGTGCAACTTTTTTTCTTTAAAACAGTTGTATCAAATCAATTCAATGCATGCTGAACGTTATAGTTGGTTAGTTGTCTAATTTGCAATCATAACAGATTTTTCTTATTTTATATTATTACTTTAAGAAAAGATCGATAAACTAAAAACCACGAGAGAAATGATTGACAAGTAATATTAAGCTTGGGTACTGACAGTATATAAGTGTTTTGTCTTTGTTCCAATCAAGGGTACACCATCACTATTGCACAAAAATTTTCCATTGCAATCAAAAATCTGGCATTTGGAAACACACTTAGAGTGTGTCCGTCAGTTATAGTTATTTCACTACTTGTCCTCGATATGTAGATGATGATTTCTAATTACTAACCCTACATTGGAATTTAAACACGGTAAATATTTTGATCAACTACAGTACTGTTACTACACTTGCCTGTTGAATATTAACTTTATTAACAGTATCGAAATTTCCCAAAAGCGATGTATTATTTGAATAGGCTGTGTACCGAACTTGGAAACAATGAAAAATTAATAATGCTGCATTACAGATTATAAAGAGAATATGCTCTTGAGTAAAGAACTTCGAACACACAAGACAGCATGTCACGTATAAACACGTCACTAGAGTGTTCACTGTTGATTTCCATACAAACTGTTGATTGTAATTTTATATTATTAAAACTCCATATTTTTAGGGGGATGTTGATTTTCATTTGGCAACTCCATAATGTACATTAAATTATCTTCCAAGATTTTATTATGAGTATACACGAGTTCTTAACATCAACCCATAATTTATTTAATGAAGACGTATATAACCGTTTGCCATTGTATGTGATCTGTGTTTTCCTTCCTGTTCAAAACAGTTGACAAAGACCTTTAAGGTCAAAGTATTGGACCGCAATTTTTTTGTTGAAGCTATTCTTATCTTGTGTTTGAACATATAGGAAATATATTGACAAAACATTTGTTGATGTTCTGTTGTCATTGTTACGGGTCCCTTTGGATTTTGGGATTCGGTTCAAAATTGCATTTTTTAGGTAGAAAAATTATAATTTTCAGGCAGTTATCATTCACAGCATTCCATTTTTGATGAATATTGTAACATTTGTTCATTAAAATATAACATTAAATTAGTTAGATTAAAGATTTTCATTGTATTCAAGAAGGCAAAATATAGGCAATTTGCATGAACTTATTAAACACTTTTGCATCCACACCCATTTACATTGAAGTTACTAATGCAAACTAACACTGTTGCCTAGTAAAAATTTATAAATAAATGTTTCGGATTCAGGTTGCTAGAGTGGTTGCTAAGGGAACCTAAAAGTGAAATTGTTTGTTATTTTGTAAATTAATGTTGACCTCGTTATGAACATATCTCATAAACTATGCAGATAAAGATGAAAATCAATTGAAAAATGTTGCGCATTCAATGACCTTAAGTTTGAACCAAAGACTAAAGGTTTATAGATTACCTTGACCTTTGACCTTGAGTCTTTTATATTAGAGTTTGTCAGAAATGGTTAAAAATATAACCATACCTTGTATAACAAAACAAGTATTGCTTTTATTTGGTAACAAGGTTAAATGCTAGAGGTCAAGGTCATGTCAAAAGTTCCTAGCAACGACCTTTACTTGATATAAATGAACCTAGCAACCATACATATTTAGGTTCAGACTAATATGAGCTATTATATAGATCCTTATTGGAAGGTGAGGGGTCAATATCGTTACCAAAGCCATTCTCATATAGTTGAAAAATGCCTAGCAATCATTAATGTTTTGATCCCTTGTGACAAAATTCCTGAATTTGGAAACTTAAATGTAATTCTTTCTTTCAATTAGAATGTCAAATTCCTTTTACATGTTTTAAGAACAGAAATACTTTATAGACAGGGTTATTCTCATGTGTATTTCATGTAATCATCAGCCACTTTGTTTCCTGTTCTGACTTAGAACATCATAGATATTTTTGTATGTTTTTAGTGTTCAAGAAACTTTAAAGTACTAGGGCTGTTTTCCCAGACATATATTTAGATTTACAACAAGGGGGTAAGTGGTCAATATCGTCACACAGTAGTCGTAGTAGCCGTTCTCATATCGTGGAAAATGCCTAGCAACCATCAACTTTTGTAATGCTGAGGACACAATGTAAAACAAATCTTTCTGATCATGATTCAAATATCTTTTCTTTAAACTCACCTGGTTCTTAGGAGCTTTATGAAGTTATACAAACACTGGGCGTTCGTCATTGTCATCGTTTTGTACATTGTCCGTCTAAAATATTTCCCTTTGAAATTGCATAATCATATGTTGTTAAACTTAACAATAATAATGCATAGCATATAATCTGTAAAAAGCCCTTATTCTGGAGCCACCTGATAAAAATTATGACTGATACAATAAAAAAGTAGAACGCCGAAATTTAAACTATAGTTCTTGGCTTAATTTGCCGATATATTATGGTCGGTATGTGTTGATCAATCTTCAAGTTTTCAGAACAGAAATTAAATGCCAGCTTTTAGCAAATTTTACAGCTATTTTTTTTTTAAACAATTTTAGATACAAAATCAAAAAAATACTTAAAATGAATTTAAACGACGATTTTTACCCAGTTGTTGGGCTGGTTTACAGGGCAAATTACGCTTTCGAGAAAAACTTTATACAACAAAATTAATAAGCCATATAAGATCTACAAGAAAGTCAAATCTGGCATGAATCTTCATTCAACATCCCCCTTCTGATGATGATTGTATCCTTTGTGTTTTGCTAAAACTTATGGTCGATAAAGAGAAACTGTACACAGCTACAACAATCAGCAAAAACAAAATGTTGAAAAACTATAAAGACAGAGAGAATTCAAACTTTAAACATCAACGTCAATCAGTTATATAATATCTACAGACATGTCGTCAAAATGAGCAAGGTCAGTTTGTCTACTCCTTTAGCGAGTTATTGCCATTCAGTGATTATTTTCACGGATTTAAGTATTTTTAACGAAAGCGTAAACTGTTATATACAACCATGCTCAACAAATAAAATCTACAAATAAGTCAATTGACAATCGGCACATATTGCCATTCAAAGTAATTTTTGCCTACTTTTGTCTTTTTGGCAATTATTAAAAGAAAGTTTTAGTAAAAGAGAACAAGTAAGAATAGGCAGAATTAAGATCCTTAAATCAATTATCATATTAATCAGAATCGACTCATTATGGAGTTTTTGTTGTCATTTAAAATAGCAATATTTCTTTAATTTAACAGAAAGCTAAAATCAAATTATGGAATCGTATCAAATGCTTGGGCGGCAAATATAAAAATGACATTGATGCAATACTATCAGAGCAGGTTAAATTTTACTCCGAGTTGTTGTTCAGCAATGAGGGTTGGGACGAAAATAGCGCAGAAAAACTTATCGGATGTATTGACAGGA